CACACACACACACACACACACGGACAAACACACACAACATTGTTTTATCCATCAACAACTAATGAGCCACAACGAGGTCTTACCTCTGAGATGCCGAAGGACAGGGATCCCATAAAGTCGTTCCGGGAGGTGCGGTCCCAGTCCCAGACCTCCAGGGAAAGACGTTTCGATTGGTCCTCAGGACCGATGTCTCTGAAAGACAACAACAACACACAGTTTGATAATTGTGATTCACTGCACAAGTTTCAAGTTCCCACCGACACATTTTAGACAAAGTAGGAGGTGGGCTGCTTCCACGCTGCCTGCCAGGGTCAACATGGGCATGGTGGGATACAACATCATAGTGGATAAGTGGAGCACTGGATTTAATCATGACCGAAAAAAATTAAAAACAAAACAAAACAAAACAAAACAAAACAAAATAAAAACCACTTATCCATTTAGAAACCCAACCCACAGGTCTTCTGTATGCAACAGCCAAGAGACTAACCATTGCACTACAGACAACGGCGTCTGCGATGTCGCAGTTGGGCGTTTTGCGGCCACACGCGATTTTTAAACCGGGTATCTGTATTTTTCGTCCGAGACGTAGTACCCCTCTCACCCTGGTTGACCGTGACAGGCCGTCTTCTAAATGATCCAAATTGTGTAGTTGGAGGCGTAAAAATATGTGCATCTCATAACAGAATGGCGTGAACTCCAAACAAAAAAACACGTTTTGAGAGCTAAGCTCAGCTCAGTCTAAATGCAGAAAGCCATTCTTTCATAAGCCTCTCTACCAACAGAATTACAAAGTTCTATCCGACATTTTTGGCTGTTTTGAGTTACTAAGACCATGAGATCAGAAATCAAATGCTCCATAATCTGCTCTATCAAAATCGTAAATGATATTTTTTTTTTTACTGCATTCGTAAGAGCAAGACATTTTGTTAAAATCAAATTTTTTAATGTAAAATTTCTCTAAAATAGTTACAGTACAGATAGAACTTTGTAATTCTACGATAGAGAAGTATTCCCGATTCGTGACCTATATAGAGCGGGTTGTAAAAACATACCAGTGGTCTTACTTCTTTACTTTTCCCCAGTCGCTTTTGTGTGTTGGTAAAGTTTTGCTCTTTCTCAGAACTCATTGGCCATTACTGTGTGGCTGTTCTTCTTTTCTCCCAAAGTGTACCAAAAGAAATCAAACTTGGCTGTTTGGTTTCTTTTATCCGGGATAAAACTGGTTGGTTGAAATTCGCCTCTGGTATATCCGTGCATGGCCGTCATCAGAAATCTTGTCGGTGTGTTTCTCTGTGCTCAGACTATATCTTTACTTTGACAGCAGAGTTTGGTCGCTCGGTGTGCTACGCTCGTATCACACTGGACTACGGGGCGCATGGTCCTGGTTCGATTCCAGAATGGGCATTTTTGTACTCGGGTCATTTTGTGAAGTTTTAAAGGCCCTCAGCCCATTTGGCGAGGTCCTATCGGAGAAAGACGTTAAATAGTTGCGTTATTTTATATTACGATGATACTTTTCAAAAAGAGCACCTGCCTAATGTGACCTCGCTAATGACGATGGTCTTGAACAGGCCTGACTGTAGTTGAGACATCAAACCTCCCCACGAGCGAATCGAACTCACATACTCTCCGTACAACAACCCTACCATTACACTCCAGACACCGGTAAAGGCAACATGCTCTGTCTTCAGACAACCAGATATTGTGACTACTGAGCCATTCCATTAAAAAAAACGAAACGGCAACGACACATGCTGTAACCTGGAGACGATGGCCTTCTGAAACAAAGTCTAAGCAGTGACAGAACCATTCTATATTTTTTCCTTCTTTCTTTCTTTCTTTCTTTCTTTCTTTCCTTATTCATTTCTTTCTTTTTTTCTTTCTTTCTTTCTTTATTTTGTCGGAGACACTCTTCCTCTGTGAGTGGTAGGCGAGTGCTCTTGTGCGGCTTGCTCCTTCTTTTCTTTCAAACATCTAAAGTCCAACATCTCCTCCTTCTTTTTTGTGCTGTTACTCTCTTACAACACCTCTAATCTTCGGCGCTGATATGACCTTAATGAGTTGCAAGTGCCGCAAAACTCTGACTTAAAAAACTCTTTCCTCTAACTAAAAGACAAACAAAAGCAATACCAAATACAACAAACCCCTTACTTTATCCTTGCTCTATCCCTGTTAAGAGCTCTGTTCAGCAGGTCATTCTCCCCACGATATGTGTATGTGTTTCATTGCAGTTACCCTTTTCCTGGAATGGCCCCTACAACAGTTAACGCAATAACACAGGAAACAAGTGGCCTTGGAGTGTGCTCATTTCCACATCCGCATTCCGTTACGGGTCAAAAGCCGTCCAAGACGACGTGAAAACGGCTGCATAAGACAAAGATAAGGATCACATTACACATGGCAGCCAGCCAAATGATCTCTCTGGCAAGTCAGACAATCTGCAAGGAAATAATTTCTCTGACCTAGCCTAAGACGCGGG